TCATACTGTTTGACGATCTCTTCTTTTTCACGAAGCAAGCAATCTGCTCTCTTCGATTCCTGTTCCGCAAATACTGTAACGTCATTCAGCCTCGTCATCAGCTGTTCCCTGGAGTCCTCCAAAGAGTACGTCTCGGGGCGCTTGACGAGTGCATGCTCCAACTGTGATTTCAGACTTTGGACCATCTCCTCCTCGTTGAACTTCTCGATAGATGTAGAAGATTCTATGCCTCTGATCTGTTGCTGATAAGCTGATATCTGTTGTGAAGCCTCACGGTGTATCTGATTTGCACGTATAGCTGATTCCTGCGCGGCCGACTTCTCGCTTGCCATGTAGGATTTCATCAATGCAATCTCCCGCTTCTGCTCCATGATAGTTCCTTCAGCTTGCCTCATCTGTTGCATCATAATATTCGACTCCATGTCTTTCTTCTCCCCGTACTGAAATGCGTTCATTTCCACCTTGCGCATCTGTTGGGCTTCTTCCTCAAACTTGCGCCATGCCTCAGCCATGTGGTGTTGGTGGTGACTCACTAGATGTCCCGACTGCTTGCTGGCAATCTCGCATCGTCTTTCCAGCTCCTGGATCCGGATGGTGCTTCCATAGTCTTCTTGGTTAAGATTCGCCATTGCTGCCGACATTTCATCAAGTGTCTTCTGATATTCCCCGATCTCCACCTCCATCTTATTCTTCTCTTTGATCACGGCGCGAAAATCTGCACTGGTGGGTGATTTTGACCTCCCACCCTTCGATGTCGATCTCACGCCCTTCTGCGACGTCCGTGGTGTCGCAGGCGAAGATGATGATCTTCTCGGTGGGGATTCTCTTTTCTTCGACTCCTGATGAACATCGATCTGCTTCCATGATCTTGTGGGAGTAGATATGTCGCTGAATAGCGCGGAACCTCCGCTCCCAGGTTCATCCTGTGAATCTGCAACCATATCCATCACCGCAGGAAGAGCCATCAATCCATTGGATCCCTCTGAGCTGCTGTTCCCAAAAGTTGCAGTACTTGGGCTCGCCGAAGACGCCATTGTACTGTGTAGGTTATCGTTCCTTTATTGTCCCTGTACCCGCAATAAACCAGCTGTCTCCCAGTCCAGTGTAGAGCTTGTAGTTACGGCTGATAACCTGTCAAGAGACGGCAAGGTGACGTCCCGTGGGACGCTGTGCACCGAACCCTCAAGCTTTAATACCAACCACGTAGAAAGGTGTATACGGACGATGCCGTTATAGCCGAACCCGTGTAAACGTTGTAAGGAAGAAGGAATGATAATTACACCAGTGGTCCTGACAAAGCGGCGCAAGCAGTTGTTTTGCTCTTAATGCCGATCACGTAGGTCTGCAGTCACACATCAGATCTTGAACCTCAATTGTGTCTTGAGCCAAATGGCGATCAATGGAACTTGGGAAGCAACACCAACAAGGACCTCAGAACAGCTACCCAATTTCGGCACGGGGCCTAGAGGGTTTTAACAATACATATATGCATGTATATATCTAGATATGTATATATATACATGGGGTTGTAAGCAACACCGTTATCGTTTTCTTGTCGTTGTACAGGTAATTGGAAGCATCGGTATTGAATGGTGGTGGTAGTGTAGGAGTAGCCGTCGTCGCAGTAACAGCAGCAGCAGGAGTAGTAGTAGTAGTAGTAGTCGTGCTAGTAGTAGTAGTAGTAGCAGTAGTAGTAGTAGTAGAAGTAGTAGTAGAAGTAGTAGTAGTAGTAGTAGTAGTAGTAGTAGTAGTAGTAATAGGACGAAAAAAACAATAGCAGTAGTAATCCGCTGACGCCAGTCGAGCGTGTAAATGGGAGTCCGCAACTTGGTCTTCCTTCGGAATCTAGTATCAAAGCCGAAGGCTTTTGGGATTGCTATTTTTGGGGCAAGCTGTGCTAGGTATTACGTGTCCAAAACCATGTATTGTTCCAGTGTTTTTGGGTCTTTCGTGCTAAAAATATGCGCTGGGGGGGTTCCCCCGGACGCGCAGGACCTGCATCCCCAGCATCATCAGGATTGTATTGTTGCCATGTTTCAAGCGATGTTGGAATTGGCCTGTTATGGGTTTGGGTGGGGCCAAGTGCGGCGATACTTTGCGGAACTGTTGAAATGAGTGTTTTTGCAATTCCCCACCTGCACGGAGCAGTTACTGCGAAACATCCCCTGCGTTACCGTGCTTTTGGAAGTCTATTTTTAGGGTGTTGACGGGGGTTGCTAGTATTGGTTTTTGATGGTTGCTTTTGGGAAATATTGAAAAACCCTGCACTTTTTGTGGCTAGCCGGCTGCATTCCCAGCAATCCCCACATCTCTGGTATTTTCTGCGTTAGGTCCATGTTGCGTCTCTGAAAGTCTTAAAATCTTGAGCGCGAAGATTGGGCCTGTTCCTGTAAGTTGTGTGGTTGCATCCCTTGCATTTCCAGCATGCTCAGCATCTGGGACATGAAAAACAGGAAAGTGCCACGAAGGCCTTGTTGTACCTACAAAAAAATTGGGCCTTGCTTTTGTACCCTTTCGGGAGGGTGGTTTGAAGAGTAGACCCTAGTGTTCTTCTCCAGTGCTGACTCTAGATTGATCGCTCCAGTTTATTAATTGGGGACTGTGCACTGGCGTCGGCGGATCGCGTAGCGATGTCAATACCAGTAAAAGTTGCAATGGTAGTAGCGCAAGTAGTGGTAGTGGTAGTGGTAGTGGTCGTGGTCGCGGAAGTCCTAGTGATAGTGCGTGATAAGGGTCGTGGTAGTCGTAGTGGTAATGGTACAGTGGTAGTGGTAGTAGTAGTAGCAGCAGTAGTACGAAAAATGATAGTAGTAGCCGTAGTAGTGATTGTAATACTGATAGAAATAGGAATAGAAATAGTAGTAATAGTAGTAGTAGTAGTAGTAGTAGTAGTAGTAGTAGTAGTGGTAGTGGTAGTAGTAGTAGTAGTAGTAGTATTAGTAGTAGTAGTAGGAGTAGTAGTAGTGACAGTAGTAGTAGTAGTAGTAGTAGTAGTAGGAGGAGCAGTAGTAGTAATAATAGGAACAGTAAAAATGAAAAAAATACATGAAAATAATAGTAACTGGCAATGTAGTAGAACCAGTAATCGTAGTGGGGCGTACTCGTCTCTGTTCAGAGTTGCGTGTCAAAACCAAGTAGTTTGCCAGTGGACGTTTCGAACCGTGTCCGGACTGCTTCAGAAGTCTTCAATGCCTAGGTCCCCATGCAGCGCGTGGACGGCCGGCGCCCGTCCGACAGGCGCCCTTTGCTCACGGCCGTCGCTCAGCGTTGTCCGCGGTCTTGTCTGCAGCCCGTGCGAGGACATCCGGTTTTTCCACCCGCGCGATGTGCTCCAAGGAGCCTGCCGCGAACAAGTAGAGGGGCAGGGATCTGGGCCAGCTTGCAGAGGCCTCGTTCCCGAGCGCCGCGAAGCCCGCGACCCAATCTAAGACCGCCTCCGCCACGGAGGCCGGGCCACGCGTTTCATCCTCATTTTGTCAGTTCTTGTCAGTCACGTGGTGGCAGGCCGCCGCATACGCCTTTCCTTCCTGCTCATCCAGCCACCCTAAGTCTGCAGATTCACTAATTTTAGTAAGGTTTACTGAAATTGTTCGCATTTTTTCGTTTTGCATAAATGTTTAAGTAGGGTTTGTTTACTCAAAAATTACGTACATTCAGAAGTACCAAAAATTGACGTCGTTTTTGTTTTAAAGTGTTCTAGAAGTAGTAACAATAGTAATGGTAATGTAGCAGCACTAGTGGAGATAGTGGGGCGTACTAGTCTCTCTTTAGAAGTGCCGGTTGAATTTAATGTCAAAACCAAGCAGTTAATTGTAGAGTAGTGGCAATTGTAGTAGTAGTAGTAGTAGTAGTAGTAGTAGTAGTAGTAGTAGTAGTAGTAGTAGTAGTAGTAGTAGTAGTAGTACTAGTAGTACTAGTAGTAGTAGTAGTAGTAGTAGTAGTATTATAGTAGTAGTGGTAGTGGTGGTGGTGTAGTGGTAGTAGTATTGATTCTAGGAAGTCGTAGTAGTAGTAGTAGTAGTAGTAGTAGTAGTAGTAGTAGTGGTGGTGGTAGTGGTAGTGGTAGTGGTAGTGGGAGTAGTAGTCGTAGTAGTAGTGGTGGTAGGGGTAGTGGTAGTAGTAGCAGCAGAAGCCGTAGTAGTAACAGTTTCAGCAGAAGCAGCAGCAGCAGCAGTAGCAGTAGTAGTAGTAGTAGTAGTAGTAGTAGTAGTAGTAGTAGTAGTAGTAGTAGTAATAACAACAGTAGTAGTAGCAGTAGCAGTAGTAATAGTAAAAGCACACGTTGTCGTTATTTTCTTGTCGTGTTACAGGCTTTCCGCACATGAACCTCCCCTCCGGGCGAAGCCACATAATGTAAAGGCGCGGGGTTTTCCATACAACTCCACATGTTGTACATAGCTTCTCTCCAAACGCACTTGCCCCCAAAAAATAGCTTTGAGTCTCCCTGTGAAGAATAACTTCACAAGACACTCACCATGGAACACCGGAACGCATTCAACATGACACACAAAGAGAGAGCGAGAGAAAAAGAGAGGGAGAGAGAAAGAGAGAGAGGGACAGAAAAAGAAACACAAGATAACACAAGTGACGTAAACAGGATCGTGCAACGAGGCTCCCCTTGTTGAACTCCAACAAAAAGGGGGAGGGGTCAAGTAAATAAATCCGGGTGTTCCCTTGGGAAGGCAACTGTCAAAATCTATCATTCACTCCGGTGTCAGAAAAGAATCACAGCGGCCTCTACCCGAAATAAGTTGCCATCAACCACAACATATACGTTGGCATCCACTCAACATCAACTTGGAATAAGCCACCAACCAACTGGTGCAGGATTCTGTCCATCTACATCTGCAATTTGTTCTATAATTCTAAAAGATGAATGAAGGGATCCCCAACTAAAGGACCTCCATCATGAGCTCGTTATACCCCAGTTCATCGGTGAGCTCGCTTGTTCCACCCGTTCCCTCGCGAGCGAGCGACTCGCCCGCCGGCCGGGCGCCAGCCTCTCGCTCATCCACCAAAGGTATCACCTGATTCCTGATCTGTGGCTTGGGCGCCTGCACGCGTCAAAGTCGAATCACTCCGTCAGCTTCAGGACCCAAAGATAGTGATGCTTCAAGTACTGGGCTGTCCGTTTTCAGATCCCGCAAAAAGAGACTAACTTTTGGGGTGTTGAATGGAAATCCCCACTAAACACGAATAAGCGGAAAAAACGAGCTAAGGGGATGGCTGGGAGCCACCAAGAGTAAGCAACAAATCCGAATAAATTGTAGGGGAACCTTGGCTGACAAGAGCTGAGAGGTAGAAACAGTACAAGTCGTGTTTCAAGCAGCCAAGAGGACCAAACAAAAAAAACTGAGTGGCTGCCAACCACAACAGCTACAAGGTGGGCTGACATATGCTTTCCATCGTGAGCAAAGCCGATTCTTGTCCGAGACTTGCCCTAGTTCTTCGGGATCACGTAGCCCCAAATGGCCATCCCGTACCCCCAGTGAACATCCCAATCCCCACTAAAGTAGACTAAAATGTGTGGTGCACCTACCCCAAAATGGGATCCCAAAGCGGTTTTGAACCATGGCCAAATGAACAGTTTCGGGGTGCCGGAGCCAAGAGGAGGACTCGGGAGGACCTTTCCCGATCGATCGTGGGATAGCAACGCTCTACCTAGTCTCCATGACCCTTTAGACATGGGGTCATGACCCCTTCTTTGTAATGACCCATTTTTTTAAGGGTCACGGAGACTCTAGGTATCTATTCTTTGTTTGTTGACAGTTGTCAACGGATTTTCCCCAATCACAACATGTTGATCAAGGTGCTTTTGTGGTTTCCATACCATCGGAAAACCCACGTTTCAAGGTTCTTAAAGAACCCTTGATCCCTTGCCAAGAGTTGACCTGCACAACCCCAAGCGATAAAAACACGCCTTCCGCGGGGCGGTTGGGCATGCCTTGAGATGTTCAGGGTGGCTCGAGGTACCTCCTTTTAGCTTTAAAACTAAAAAACAAAACACAATGTTTTTCTTTTGGGTGGGGGTCCCCTCACAACATACACACAATCCACACTGGAGTGAATCGATATCAAGTCCTCCACATTTGACTAGTGACCCTTTCCGGGAATCCCTTTTGGTTGGTTGACTCCATGTACACTGGCACGAACCATGCAAACTCGTAGGGTGGAATCCGCTGGACTAGTGGGTGCCACCTTGTGGAAAGCAACCAGTTCAAAAGGATCTCTGACTAGCCCACTGGCCCTATATTTCCGCAAATGACGCCATAACACCACGCCACACGCACAGGACAAGTAAAAATGTCATTCCACGCTGCTGAGCTACACACCGAGAGGCTGTCAGGGCAGCTATACAAATGGTCTGACCTGATTTGTGGCCTGTCAAATCACATGGTAGGGTGAATCCTGGTCCAAAGAAGCATTAAAATGATTCCATCTCTGGGTAGGCATTTGTTGATCCTGGTCCAAAGAAGCATTAAGAACATTCCAGCTCTAATCTTGGTTGACATTGGAAGGGGAGCAAAACAAAAACAACAGTTGAGTGGGGATGTCCCACTAAACCACAATTCCCAACAACAACCATGCAAAGAAGCCTGAAAAAACATTCCAGCTCTACCTCGGCATTCATTGCACCATCCTGACACCTGGAAAAGCGCTTCATCTCTTCATGGCTGGGCCCCATCCCGGCCAGCCTCCTCAGGAAGAGTATGAACCCCGAAGCGGGAGGGCGTTCTACTGCCAGCCATGGAGATCTCAGCCGCGGACAAAATCTTCACTCAGACCCGAAATGCCCGGCTGCTCGCCTGAACACTGGCATGAACCCCGGAAAGGGTTGTCCCAAGTGGGCAAGCTCAAATAAGTTGGGGTTCTTCTTCAGCAACAAAAACGAGACGGCTGAATCAACTCTTGTCCGATGTAAAAAAATGACAGGTGGGTCATAATCAAAACCGGGTACAACTGGTTAATTAAGCCAGAATCATGTAAAGAATTACGAAGCCGGCCGCACCTATTTCTGGTTGGGCTCGTCCCTTGCTAACCTTCATCCACCCGGGTTTTGATTGTGATTCAGGTCAGCCTCTTGAATGTCCTCTCGACAAGCCGTCAACTGTTGTGAAGGCTGTCCACTGCCGCACCCGGCACTTTTGGGATCTGATCCTGGTAACCTTTACCGCTCAGCCAAAGCCAAACATTCCCACACCCATCCAAACAGCTTCAAAGATACCTTGGGTGCCCTAGTCAGGTTGACCACATATAAGTCTGTCGCTTTCTAGAACCCCAAAAAATGGTGGTCCTGTTGGCTTCTCTGTAAACCTCCAAAATAGACACGCCCATATAGCTGAGAGCCTTCAAACAAAAAGCGAACACGGGTGGTGCTGAACAACTGCGGCACCCACTCACTTTTGACTGGCTTGAAAGGGACACCCAACACAAATTCGCAAAGCTTGAAGTCACGGGTTGGCTTTCCAGTGTCAGTGTGAACGATCAGTTGCACTTTGCACATTTGGAGACTTCTCAGGAAAGCGGCGCCACAATTCGGGCCCATTGTGCTAACTGATTGTTACTCAACTTTCCCCCATAAGAGTCCCTTGAGTTTGTCCACTCGGATGGTCGGCAAGTCCCCCACAGTCCGTGGCTTACAAGAGACTTCCGAGCGCCGGGCAGACCCCACCGAGGCCTCGGGGCATCCAAGTCAGCCGCCAAGAGTCGAAACTTGGTCTTTGCCACGAAAATCGTCCCAACAAATATGGGCATGGGTCAAAATCCAAATCGTACCCCCAGTGAACATCCCAACCCCCATTAAAATAGGTGCCAAAATGGGTGGTGCACCAAATACCCTACAATGGGATCCCATTGGTTTTGACCCACAGCCATAGAAAGTAATAAGTCCGGAAACTCAGTCAAAACTTGCTCTCCACAAAAAAGGTCCTCCCAAGTTTTTTCGAGCCCCGGAACTCAAACGGTGAGCATGGACTCCAAAGAATGGAACCTTCATGGGTGAGGCCGTGAGGCCGGCAAGGCACGGACGGAGCTTCTGGCTCGGAAATCCATATCGCGTGGCTTGTCTTGCTGGTGCTCAGCAGGGAATTCCCTCGAACCCTATAAACAATCCCTTGTGGTTTCCTTTGGGTTCATTCTCTCCTGAGCACCAGCCAAGTGTTGGCGGTTCAAGGGCAAACATCGCAGAGTTGTAGCTTCCAGGCCGCACGCCTCCGAGAATAAGGCTCGCTTCAAAGGGTCCCTCTTCCACACGGGCGAAGCGGGCGGTATATCTCGCGCAAGACCTCAGGGCAAGACCCTGGAACGCTTGATCAAGGGCAAACAGCATAAAGACACATCATTTGGAGAGTCGAATCCAGTTTTTGATGCACTCTTCTGAGCCACAATCAAGTGACATGTGAATTCGGGGCTGGCAGTCCCACCATATTATCGTTGTGACACTGTGAATGTGCCACTATCAAACACTATCGCAAAGTCAATGAGATAGCCTAGACACCAAAGATTCGGAGTCAATTCCTGGTTCTGCACGATACGTTCCCTGAAATCAGTGCGTCTATTGGGCCTTCAATCGCAAGTTCCAAAGCCTGTGACGCAGGCTTTGGACAAAGCAATCTTTTGCGTAGTTCCCAGATGCCCAAGAATCAGGAGGCCTTTCCCAGCAAGCAAGCGCCTTCATCGAAAATGGTACTGGACACCAGCCAACTATTATGGACATGTTGGAATGTGTCAAAGTTTCTGGCCATGTTGGAAAGTGTCAAGGATTTTGGGGACCGCAAAATAGCGTCGTTGTTGGGTTTCCATCTAAACCAAAACCCAAAGGGTACCTCACAAAGCCACAGCTTGCCGCATGACCAGCTGGACTGAGTCCCTGGCACGTGAGCCAGACCGCCTGGGGTTCTTCTCGGCCTAGACTCTCGACGCCCGGCGGAACGGGCGGTTGGAGCCTGACCTGAATTCGTAGACACACACACACACATTATAGCTGTCATGTTTATGATTATGATGATGATGACGACGGGATGTTTATCTTTAGTATTGTTCCAGGCTGTCCTCAGATCCCCTGCTAACAGTATATTTCTGTGTGAGTGAAATGCATAATGGAAACCCACACTAAACCCTAAAAACTTAAAGCCAAAGGGGAAAGCTGGGAACCTCCAAGTATTGAGAGGGGGGTCCCCTTTCTTGTGGGGATTCCGTTCTTTTAGGGGGAGCAACATGGGGATGGTTACTTCGAGTAGCCGTTGTTATGCTTGTGAGCTTTTGGGACCAAAGATCAATCGCCTGGCGTGGCTTCCCTGTGGCTTCCCCAAGCCACTCGGGTTCATCCTTCCGAGTACATCACGCTTGGTTGATCCCATCCCAAAAAGCCTCGGACAGCAGCTCGGAAGCATGAGTTCCAACAGCAGAGTTCAGGGCTCTGCGCGAGAGTGCGCTACCGCCTGATACTTGGGTCAGCTTTGTTGCTGGAGAATCAGATGAGACCAAACGCACTCTGTTGTGCAGTCGGGAAGAGTCACTGGGGCCTGAAAAGGGGACTTGCCCTCTGATTCGTTGGGCTACAACCACCCGAAAATGGGAGAACAACACACCAGCAGGACCATCGGCGTGTTCCATCGGGAAAGGGAAATTTGGCCTTGGCTCTTGGGTAGGGTCCCGCGGATTGCCATTTCACCGGTGGATGGTTGCGAAATCCATTTCGGCACCTCAGAAACCCTGGGATTTCGGATTCGACTGCAGCAACGCACATACCAGCAACACAAAAGAGTTCAACCATGGTTTCGAAGTGGTGCGAACGGAATTTCTTTCCCTGTATATATACCCACCAAATAATAAGTTGAACCATGGTGTCCAAAGTGTCAGCACAACATAAAAATGCAAAAATCCACCAACATGTCCTCAACCAACAACCACAAGAATTGCTGTCGTGACTGGTGCGACATGTGACATGGATTTCGCCCACCATCCGCCCGTCCCTCCCGAAGTCGAGGATTCGGATCTTCGGCGATTCAACTCCGAGCACCCGGCCTTGCGGTCGTCCTCGCGGAGCGTTTCGGGAATTTGGCAGCTCGGGCACGGTTTGCGCACGATGACAGTGACCGACCCATTATACTATATATATATGTATGTATATATATATGTGTATTTATATAAATATTGTTATACATATATGTACTTATACATAAACTAGAGGACGGTTGGCCCAAAAGCATTTTTCCACAGGCGCTCATCCTGCCGCGGAGACACCTTTTTACATCGCTGCGGCGAGCGTGTCTGCGCGCGGCGATGCTCAGTGTGTATGGTCACATGAGAGCTCCATCTCATCATCCTACTTTCCTCGCGATTTCTCACGAAAGTGGTCTGCGCAAGCTGCATTGTTCCAGGCTGCTGCGCGCAAGTTGCTCTCTGCAAGCTGCTGCACGCTGCTGCACGCAAGTGCTCTGTGCAAGTTGCTCTGCGCAAGTGCTCTGAGCAAGTTGCTCTGCGCAAAGTGCTCTGCGCCAGTTGCTCCGCGCAAGCGCTTTGCGCATGTGCTCTGTGCAAGTTGGTCTGTGCAAGTTGCTCTGCGCCAATGCTTTGCGCATGTGCTCTGTGCAAGTTGCTCTGCGCAAGTGCTCTGAGCAAGTTGCTCTGCGCAAGTGCTCTGCGCCAGTTGCTCCGTGCAAGCGCTTTGCGCATGTGCTCTGTGCAAGTTGGTCTGTGCAAGTTGGTCTGTGCAAGTTGCTCTGCGCAAGTGCTTTGTGCAATTGCTCTGTGCAAGTTGCTCTGCGCAACTTGGCTCTATGTAACTTGGCTCTATGTAACCTGGCTCTATGTAACTTGGCTCTATGTAACTTGGCTCTATGTAACTTGGCTCTATGTAACTTGGCTCTATGTAACTTGGCTCTGTGCAACTTGGCTCTGTGCAACTTGTCCAAGGGCTCCGCACGGAAGAACCCTTCGCGATGCTTTCGGGAATATATATATATATATGTATATACGTATGTATATGATATACGCATCGTATCCATATTGTGGGCGATCATTTGGCAAAAAACATGCATACAAATGACATATCATATGCAACTCCTCCGTCTGCAAAACCGGTGGCCAAGGTTGGGTTGCTCATTTTCTCCGCATCAACGTGCCATTGCTTAAGATATCCACGCAGGTTACCCAGCCATGGAAGCTACAAAGTTCCAAATGGAAAACCACTAAGAGCTCCATGCCTTGTCGCAAACTGGAGGCCCGGCAGCCACTTGATCTACAAATACTTGTTCAATTCCACATCCATCAGGTCCAAAGATCTTTTTCAGTTTAAACGGGCTCTCCAAATAGGCCCCCTGACATGGACATGACGTTTTGGTTTCCCCTCAACTTGGTTGCTGTTGACCCCTCTGCAAAAAGTTCATCTTTTTGTGGGTTTAGTGGAAAACCCCATGATTTTCCCAAAAGGTAAAGTCCAAAGAACCAACCCAATAGCAGTCAAGCCAAATAACAACCAAAAAGGGTTGTCGACCATTTAGAGAAAAGAAACTCTCGAAGGCAAATGATTGCACTTCCCCACCTGCGCTTTACCCCAGACAAAAACATGGCTGTTGGAAAACCAACAAATGGCTGTGGGTCAAAACCAATGGGATACCATTTTGGGGTAGGTGAATTCACCACCCATTTTAGCCTATTTTAGTGGGGATTGGGATGTTCACTGGGGGTACGGGATTCTGACCCATGGCCAAATCAACAGCTTGACTCGCTCTGGGCAGACGTGCTGCAGCATTTCCCGCACTTGAAGCAATCAAACAGGCAAACAACGTGTGGCATCTCGTGCGTCGCATGAAGAAGATGTTGGGAACATCGGAATATTTCTTGACAGGCTACGATAAACAAGTGTCATCCAACCGGGTTCAAGGTTCGACGTTCTATTCTCGAATAGAGCTCCACTCCAAGCCAAAACGAAGGGTGTGCCTGCGACTTTTTTTGTGCCGGGAACCACCGAGAATCAACCGGTTCACAAATCCGTTCCCATGTCACAAACCGGGATCCACCGGGAACAACGAGCATCGAGGTTTGGCGAGTTGATTCTGAAAGGGACTCCAGTCCAAAAGGAAGGGCAACGGAGGTGCAGTTGCATACAAAGCAGATGGCACAACTTCAGCCCATTTCGGCTCACTCATCCCCTTTAGCCGAATCTATCGGGAATTGTGCCATCACCCTGGACGTCATGACTAGCCTTGGCCCCACTGGGGTACTCAAAGAATGATATCTTCTGATTCTGTTTCATATTTCTGTGGGTCAAAAACAGGTACCCAAGATGGAACCCTGGTAAATGGAACCAAGGACTAAAACCTGCGCTCCCCTGGTGGTTTAATTGTGTCCCATACCCATATTCAGCCTGCCCCAAACAAAACCTTTTGGAGGGGACTCCAGCACCATGGGCTCCCCGGCTTTCCGCACAACCTTCTTCACCGGCACACAGGCCCGCGCCCAGGTGTCGATGCGACACCTGGCGCACATTTGGTTGGCATATTTTTGGTGACCCGGGAAAAGGGGGGGTCTAAGAAATGGGTTCCGAAATCAAATGCTACACATATGGCCATGGGTCAAAATCCAAATCTTACCCCAGTGAGCATCCCAATCCCCATTAAAGTAGGGCACCTACCCCAAAATGGGATCCCATTTGTTTTGACCCAGAGCCATATATTGCTCTTGCCAGCTGGAACACCTGTAGAAACCCGTTGCTATTGGTTTAATTGCCAATACATTGTGTCAGTTCTTGCTTGTTGAGGCAAGTATGGTGCTGGCAGGCTTGCAAACTATGGAAGCACCCGAAGATGCCGAGTGTGTTGCACGACATGTCGCATAAACACATCCGAATAAATACTCGTGCTGAAAAGGTTTTGACACCTTCTGCATGCCCACCATCAGGTACGGTGAATCATCTGCATAATCCGACTGGCCTATAACTAACCAAAAATACTGGAACTTGTTCTAGTATGTGTTGTTTCTCCTCCTGCAAGGCAAACATTCCGGCCAGCAGCACATGACGCAGGTTTTGCCAATCTGAAGCCACTCGCCCAACTGCCAAGCAAACGTTGAAGATGAGGCCCCTTCAAAATTCGCCTTCGCCCTCCAGCCTCCCGGTGCATCTAAGGCCCTCCCTTTGGGGAAAAGGACCCTCCTCTTCAAAAACATGGCACCACCTGGTGACTTCCATGGAATCGCCTCAGGGCTTTCTGGGAAAAAGGAAAGGGCACCCTGATTGACCCAAACCGGGCCGGTGCACGGCCCGAGCCAGGGGGTCTTTAGGGAAACCCAGTCTTGGGTCTGCTGTCTTCATGTTTTCGGCGGGGGGGTGGGGGTTGGATTACCCCGGTCCATGCTTTCATGAAGATCCAAATTCATATGCGGCAGAGAGCGCCTAGGGGGCTCGCTTTCGAGGCACCAGCCATCTTTGGGAGCCTCACGAGAGGTCCCGAAATTCTATTCGTAGCTTCCCCATTCTTTCCAGGCATCCTTCTTTCAAAAAAACCACCCAAACCCCTGGGGAAACAGCTGGTTTTTCAAAAGAACGATGGTTGAAAAGAATGGGGAAGCTACCCCTAGAGAAATGAACGATACCCCCCGTGACTCTAGCTGTTTTACGTTTCCTGACCCATTCAAACCTCTTGCCCCCGGCCCTGCCAGAAGAAAAACATTACCCCAGCCCCAAAACCAAAAGACCAAAAAAAACACGCACAAAAAACATGGCACACTGTTTTGTTCAAGGCCGCTGGTCCTAGGGAACCGTTTCAAACGTCCAAAAGGGAGAAGGTGCACCACAGGTCCGGGATCATGAATCTGAGCTGCTTGGTGCTTAGCCCGGTGATTTGGTGAAGTGGAGGGGTTCGCCACTAACCAAATCTCTCCAAGAACTAGGGGTTCAAATCTCAATGCAAACCGCCAACCTGAAGGGTTCCCTGAACTTAAGTGGCAGGGGTTAAGGTAAGCTACCCAATAGCTGTGGCTCCCCTGATGGGAGCGTGCCAGATATTGGGAGAGGTCTTGAAACTGTCCATCCGAGTGGCCATACAGTATCGATCCCGCGAAAGAAAAACAAAATAAAAAAAAACGAGACTTGTTGCATCCAATGGAGCTGAGCCCGTTGACAAACACACGTTCTGAGCTGATTTGTGTGATTGCACCCTTCAGTGGTTGCAATATGTTGGAATGGCAGTCTCACAAATGGGACCATGGGAGGTCTGCTTGTTCATAGTATTTAGGAGTCCCGCCATCGACCTCTTGAAACTTCCAATTGTGGATTCCTTAGTGTCTGGGCTTACGGCGTGCTGGAAAGTCCCCAATCAAGAGGAACACTCTGAGTGGTATGGCCGCCCTCTTTCCTCGTTCATTCTTGGTAGACATGGAATATTCCTTTAAGCTTGCCTTGCCTTGTGTGTTGGCACAAGTTGGGAGACAAAGGGCAACCTCTCACAAAAACTTATGATGCTCACACTTCCCCGCTGAAAGTTTTTTACTCACATTTGTGGGGTTCGTTTCAAAAAACCTTCGCCCGAGTATGGGGTAGGCCAAAAATAACACGTTCAGCTTCTGTTGAACAAAAAACCAGCCGACTCGGAACTATTTCAGATAGTTGGAGGACCCAAGAGGGGTTTCTAGCGATTCTAGCCGAGATCATGGCCAATTTGCCAGACTCAGGCTCCTCCTCCTTCCTAAAAGACCTGGCGGCGGGCAGGGGCGTCCTACGCGCCGATCCACAAATTGTCTGCCTCGCGGGTGTCCTGTGCGACCATTTTTTGGCCTTACGGTGCCAGGGGCCCCTTTTTGGTTTTGAAGGGAAACCAAGAGGAGAACCATCTGGGGGGGTCCCATTCCTAAAACAAGCCACCCTCCTTACAAATACTCGGGCGAAATAGATGGCACAATCCCCTTGTGTGAAGGTTTAGGGTGGGGAGGCCCTGTGAATTGAGCCAGCAGCCCCCCAGTCTGAAAATCCATGTTGCTGTTCTGTGGGCACTGCGGCCGAAGTATCATCAGCTGAGTCTGGCAAGTGGGTTGTCGTAAAATGTTTCTCCCCTACCTTTGGTTTGCATCTAAATCACCACAACAAATGGCACCCTCAAACAAATGACACACCCAAATGGGAGCGCTCGTCCCAAAACACACCGTCGCCAGACTCGCTGATGAGAGTTCCGTGTCACAATTAACTGGCTGTCCAAAAGGAGAATCATTTCCACAAGGGACATGGGCGTGGGTCAAAATTCAATCACCAGGATATTGACCGCATGTTTAGTCCTTGTTGCCATTTACGGTTCCATTTTGGGTACCCTATTTTGACACACAGCCATGGTCTTCCAAAGGCATGTGTTGTTCCTTCGTACTCGTTCAGTTAAAGGTTTACAATGCAACATTGGCGTTGCAAAGTGCTCCCAGTTGCGACTACCAGAAAACAAACGCTTCCTGTCTTGTTTCTGGTAGCCATCGCTGTTCCTTTATTGCATTTGGCATGGCAGCTCTCGGCGTGCTTGGCGGAGCAGCACCAATGGAATATATTGTCAGTGGTCTCTGGCTGTGCATCAACACATAGCTATGCGTTCTCTCGGCGCTCATCAAAATACTTGAACAACATGGCTGTGGGTTGTCTCGGTGCTCAACATTTGAATCAAACTACTTGAGGGGAGCATACACTTCCATCCTCCAAAGGTCTCCCAAGCCCATCGCGCACGCCTCGCTGAGGTGAGGCCTGAGGCGAGGCTCGCATCGGGTGTGATGTTCGCAGATGAATCAACCTGTGGCAAAAAACAAACAAGACGTCGCCCCCCATGAAAGCAAAGGACCCCCCACCCAAAATAGGGCACACCACCAATCAACCCTGGGCTTATTCATCCTGGGTCTACAAATACTACTTGGAAGCCCGACATAGAAAGTTGAAGCGACCATTACCCCTTTATCTCGGCGCCCCTCCGCACAACATGACACCAGAGCAAGGTTAAATATGTGGTTCTTGATGTCACTGATTCAAATCAGCTTGGCGAACATGTCAATGAGCTGAAGACATTGACGGCACACCAAGGAGGCCAAATGACACTTCCAGGGCTCTCTCGAAAGTCAGGCTCAGAAGCTGCATTCCCCTCTAAACACCCAGAAAACTCGGGTGAGAAGGAACAAACTCAAACTGGGCCAGATTCCGCCCTGCTGAAGTTGAGACTTCGCTGCTGGAAAGGGGTAAGGCCAATCAAACGGCAAAAAGTAAACGAAAACAAAAAAGGGCCAGCTGTGGCGATGGAAACGGCCAACAGAACCTGCCGTTGAATTCCCACCGAAAAACGTTCGGGAAGGCGAACCATTTGAGTTTACCCTTCAAGTCCATTAACTCAGAAAGTGAGTACCGATATGCACCGGTAAAGGCATTCCAGTCCCTGCAGCTCTCTAACGAGTTCATCCTTGCAACAGGTCGATGCTGGAGTCTCTTAAAGAAAGGCGGCAGTAGATCAGCTTCCTTCCAATTAGTGGTTTGGATTGGTGGTTTGGGGGGTCCCCGGATTCCCATCTACCCTTTAGAGGAACCAGCGCTTCAAATCCCACTCCAAACCACCAAAGGGTTGCTTGAGTCATGATCAAAGCCCGGTTTAAAAATGGTCTACCCAGAACCATGTAAGGAATTAAGAAGGCGGCTATCCGAAGCTATTTATGGTTGGGATCTACCCGGGTTTTGTGGCGCACCTGCGCATAGACTCCTTTCGCCGACCCCAACAAACTGATGCCTACACGCTCGCTCGCAACGAGGCCGGCACCCACGGGTGCAGAGCCCGGCCGCGGCGCCTCGCCTGAGAGCTTCGATCGGCGATCGTCACCGCAGATGCGTTTTGTTGTCGGCCATGTACTTGTTTTTGTTCCCCTTTCCGGTTTTGGGTACGTTGAACTACGGGGACCAAACCGCACACCAAAACAAGGGTACCCTTAGAGACAAAGCCATTAGGGTGTGTCCATGTTTTAGGGGATCTTGCAGATGGCCAGATGTTCTCTTTGGTTTTAACCAAAAGGAGGCTTCCTCTGAAAAAAACAACAAAACACACACACACACACACACACATGGAATCCGCCACACCCAAGAACGGACGCAGCTGGCGGATTCTCCCTTGCCAGGAATCCCTTCCTTGGGTTCTAAGCTTTCTTCGATTCTCGGGAAGGTCCATGGCTTTCAAAAGTGGGCAAACATGCCAGGGGGATGTCATGGCCCCATTTCACTTCTGCTATTCCATCTGCATCTTTCGCTTCAAGAGGTACTGCGGTACTGTCCTGAGGTGGGATTGGTCGGGTTGGTGGAAGGGACAAGCAACAGCGTGCAAACCGCTTCTGAAACGCTCACTTGACCTCCAAAACCTGATGTAGATCTGTGCAAATCACTCAAACAGGATCGGCGAATCGGCCTGATAGGAACCCCGTTGTCATCTTCGGCAATATCAATGTAATCTAAAAGAGCCTCCATTGCCCCCAAACCACTCAAGGGAAAGTGGGGGGGGCATGGCGTCTATATGGCTAAAAATGAACCACCCCCTCCCAATTCCTGCATCCCGTAGATGCTCGCGCCGTACTTGAGTCCACGAAACCGGACAGCTCAAAGGATTGACCTCTGATCCATGACTTGGGGGATCTTTAAGCGGCGGACTTAAAGCATTATGTCTCAGGGAATGCTTTGAATACTTCCATTTGCTTAAGACAGTATGTCCAGTAGTGCAACATTTTCTTAAAACATATTCTTGAACAAATGGAAGAATAGCGAGTTGAGCAGTGAACCTTTCAAGCGGAATTGGGATCTGCCCCCGGGGACAAGGCTCTGCTTGCTCTGAAACAACATCCCGACCGCTCTTGGTGTGACTTTTTAAACTGGGAAATGGCCTGCTGGTTGAGGGATAACAGAATAAGCCCATGTGCCGCAAACTGCGGAGGGTTGCATTGGCGATAAACATGGAGTCTGGGCAACTTCCCTCGTGTTTTGCTGTGAGGGCATATGCATTGAAAGGCGTGCCGGGTACGGTCGTTCGGTGTGCTAAGGAATCTTATTAAACAAGAAACGAGACTCTTGCCGGGACAGAAAATAAATTTCCCAGACTCTCGGAGCCCCCAAAAACCTGATTTCTGCTCAACTATGCAGTGTATATCTACCAAAGTAACTGGTATCTCTCAGCTGCGAACAGTTTCATCAAGCACATGACGGAAATCTGCTCATTCACAAAAGTGTACAAGCTAGGAAACGGCCCTGAACCCAGTCTGAACATATCTGAACCAGTCTGAGCCCACCCGATTGGGGGACACCGGGTGGCGGGATTCATTCTACCATGTTCTGTGCCACATCTTGGGGTGAAGGGTGCGATTGGGTGCAACTGGCAGATGGGTGCAGTTCGGGCGCGACTTGCTTTTTCTTGCAAATTGGCTACTACCTGCATGGCTCGCCCAATTGACTGATTTCAGACTGGTTTCAGACTGGTTTCAGACTGGTTTCAGGCCTCTTTTTTGGCTACGGGCAACAAAACGGCTGCACCCTTGATCATGCTGGATTCCCTCAACATGTACGTGGCAAAGCTAAGACCCCCAGATACTTTACCACCCAGAGTCTCGGAAAAACTTGAGATTTCTTAACTCCACCGTACAAAAAAATAATGCGAGACTCTCGGAAGTAAACGGGGATTTCCTACAGTATCACATAACATAACCGTACACACTCACCATGAGAACTTGACTCTCATTGTTCACCCCCACCGCCCCATTGCCACCCCCCCTGCCCAAACAAACGCAGCCCCGGACCTCGAGCGAAGATGTCCCCCTGCGGCGATGGTCAGAATCCGTGCCGCGCTTCTGTTGGAACAGCTGAGTTGGCCATCGCCAGAAATCTTACCTGAAAAGATGGGTCTGTCTTTGTGAGGGAGCCAACTTTGGTTGGTGTCAAAGGGAAACCAACAGGAAAACCACCATGTTTTTGGCTCCTTATTTTGAAACATTTTGCGGAATCAACAGCATCCCCACGTATCTGAACCAGCTAACAGCATGGACTCCTATAGTAATCCCCTGCAAAAAGCTGCACTGGTGAAATCGAAGCCCTACCGCTAAACCAGCTGAAAGCATGGACCCCTATATTAATCCCCTGCTAAAAGCTTCACGGGTGAAATCGAAACCCAACCGTTAAACCAGCTAGAAGCATGGACCCCTATACTCACCCGTGAAGCTTTTAGCAGGGGATTAATATGGGGGGTCCATGCTTCTAGCTGGTTTAGCGGTTGGGTTTCGATTTCACCAGTGCAGCTTTTAGCAGGGGATTAATATAGGGGTCCGTGCTTCTAGCTGGTTTAGCGGTTGGGTTTCGATTTTACCAGTGCAGCTTTTGCAGGGGATTAGTATAGGGGTTCATGCTTTTAGCTGGTTTAGCGGTTGGGTTTCGATTTCACCAGTGCAGCTTTTAGCAGGGGATTAAATCGAAAGCAACCGCCAAACCAGCTAAAAGCGTGGACCCCTAAACACGGCAGGGGCCCCCTGAAACCCCCTCAGACCCAGAAATTGGTCGGAGGCGGCCTCCGCCCTCCGCCCCCGCCGCCGCGCGCGGCGCCTCCGAGCTTTGCTGCCGCAGCAGCTCCGCCTTGCTACCCGTCGCCGGGCGCGCCGTGAGGCTGGGCCGCTTCAGCCTCAATCGATATCCAACTCCCCGGGCTCGTCCTTCGGGCGGGGAAAAGGGAAACCCGTTTGTGGAAACCCGATTGCATTTTGGGTGACCTCTTCAAAGCCTAGAATAAGACGCACCTCTCTTAAGGGGTCCATGGAGGTCTGGCGGTTCGCTTACGCTTTCGCCTTTCCTTGCGGGGTCCCTTTGATCACCAAGGAACTTTGCCATCTACGTCACCCTGGTTCTCTGGTTTCACTTTGTTGGGAACCCAGGATTAAGCCCATGGTTACCCCATGGTTTGATTATTTTGTTTCAGGGCGTCCCATTTCAGGCAAGTTTCATTTGATCCTTTCTTTAAAAACAAGTTTCCCATTTAAAATCAAGCGCCAAGAAGGGGGGGGACTCTGTTTTATTCCCATGACCACAGGTGGTCTCGGACACAGTTTGAGAGGATTTGGGTTTCGTCAAGGTCTGTTGGCAGCCATCCGTATTGCTTTGCTAAGTGGGTGAAAGGTATGGCTACTAAACGACTACTAAGCACCCCGTCGCTTCAAGAGCTCTCTCTCTCTCTCTCTCGCTCTCTCTCTCTCTCTCTTCCCCTCTCCCCCTATCTTTTTAAATGTGGGTGTTTTGCTTGAAACAAGATTAAGACTGCCTCCTCTGCTGGGTTTCATTTGTGGGCTACTGAGTTAATCTCGAGCATGCAGCTCTGTCGGCTCTCGTCCATGAGGGCTTGCGTACGTTTCAACTGTTTGTCTTCAACCAAGAAACAACACAGCACATGCCAGCCTTAGTACCAAGAGTCGCAACGGTTTACCCCGGACTTATTGGGGTCCATATTACCTGCATGGCACTTGGTGGGTTGCTCCTTTGCGAACCGCAAATCTGTGTTGTCCCGAACCACACGTCTTGGAATCAGGATGATGTTTGTCACGCAGAAGTCAATCATTATTGAGTTTGAAACTGTGGATGATGGACGACCCGTTCGCACCACTTTGAAACCAGGGGAAACCGTTGCTTGTTGGTATTTACAGCGGAATCATCATTCCAGGGTTTCTTGGTTGGTGCAGGATTCGTCCATCCACGGTAGGAAGGGATCACCCTCCCCCACGCTCGTCCCTTAAGGAAAAGGGACAAACATGCGGCACCAATTTCTTCTGAAAAGGGCCTCTGGACAATGATCAGGGGTCTCCATCGCAATCCGCTTTGCTCTCTTTGGTAAAGGGTCAGCAGCCAAACGGGGAATACCACGCCGACAACAACTGTTTGCTCCAGGCAAGTCACCGTCCATCAAATGAACCCGAGACCAAAATATGTGTTCCCCCAAGATGGCATGGGAAACCTGGGGCCCGAGCCCGGGCTTGAAGCTTGGGTGGGCCCCTCTTCTAATAGACCAACTAACAGTAAGAAAACATAAACTGCCAGGAACACAGTCAAGTCAGCTTCTCAAGTGGGTTTTGATTTGAGGGAACCCCTTCATGGGCTGAAAGGAAACCACACAGAAAGCAGTTTTGAGACACGCTTCCATTCGCACAGTCAGCTTAAGCACAGGCCGGGCAGGCGGAATCTGCTGATGCTCCCCATCATCGTGGCCTCGGTTCGTGCTTCCCGTTTCTGCGACTGCTGGGGATACGTGCTCCTCGGAGCGTGTCTTCTTCTGACTAGCACTACTTGGCTGTGGCTCAAAAAACCTTTACCAAAATGGAACCCTGGTAAGGACCAAAACCTGCGTAACCCCTCCTGTTTAATCTTGAGGCACGCCCGCTTGTCTGAATGTCACCAAGACAATTTGCCACATCTTTGATCTGAGTGCTTCTGGCACCTGGGATGAATCTTCGGGAGTGCAAGTCGTTTTGACTGAATCGTCAGCTTGCGGCTCTCGCAATCGATGCGAAACCCGGGAAAAGCACGACACCCTTGGGGCAGCTCTTTTGTCCAAACAAGGGATACCCTGTTGGGGGGTAACGTGTTTTGCCAGCTAAGTTTTAAAGCCGCTCTTTGCAAGTGGCACTGCGTTAGCTTTCGCCAGAAGGCGAACTGGCATGCAAACTTGCCTTACGATCAATCGGCACAAGGTTGTCTACAAGTTTTTGGAGGGCTTCCACGCTCATGACAAACGGTGCTGTGAAAGCAAGCGTCAGTGGCGATCCTGGTCAGTCTCGCTTACACCGCAGGTAGCGGATGGCAGGAAAAGCCAACACACATGGCTGTGGGTCAAAACCAATGGTACCATTTTGGGGTAGGTGCACCCCCCATTTTAGTCCATTGTAGTGGGGATTGGGATGCTCACTGGGGATACGATTTGGATTTTGACCCATGGCCACATGGCAAAAGGCCTCTCTCTCTCTCTCTCTCTTTATCTCTCTCTCTCTCTCTCTGTCTCAAGACAACTCCAGATTGCTGGCTCAAAACGCGAGGTGCCTCTGGCGCCGCAGCTAAGCCCGCAGCGGACGAAGCACATCTTGAGCTCACCCACAAGAGCCTCACGATCAGCATTAACTTCTCGGCAGCTTGGATTTCAAGCGAGGCAAGCAGCGAACCAAATCTGCAAAAAACAAATGATCCCAACATGTCCAGGAAAGGAGCCTTCATGATGGGTGAGCGTGCCATCTTCTATTCGATTGAAAATGACTGCAGCTGTGATTGTAATTCGTGTCTTAACAAGCAACCTCCAGCAATGTGTCCATGTTTACCTGCTCTGCTTGCACACAGAGTGCGCTTGTCGGTAAATTGCTGTATCGCCTGTACACGTTTGTCGAGTGTTTCAGATGCTTTCTGCAAAACGGCGGCCGCTCCAGCGTAGTGGATAAAAAGGAGCTGCTGGTCGCTTCCTCTTCTGCATCTGTCCAACAACATACAACACAAAAGGCGAACATGACACATTTCCCCCACCAAGCAAAGTTAAGCTTCTTGCAGAGGTTCAGAGAACAACTTAGCTTTCAGCAACTTCCTTCAAAAGGCTACGACTGACACATGCCAATAATTTCGAGCGGGTTTGCCGGATGGCTTCGGGTCCCCCAAACTCGAAACCGCCTCGCAGGCGGCATTCGCGGCGAAGGAAAAGGACTTGCGGTGGATGTAGCTGTCATACAGGAGCTTTCCTCCCTCCTGGAGGACCTCGCGATGTTCGCCCAAGTTGGCATTTGTGTTCTGAAACCTCTAAGGAGTTGGGGATCGAAAAAGAAGCTCCAAACAAGAATGCGGACTTGACAAACACCTTGGGGACGACAAAGTCGAGCAAACGACTGCAAATGATTTTAGGGCCAGTGCGCGGATGGGCGGCGAATTGTCCACGCGCCTTTGAAGCATTTTGCCACTTAGACTTGCACACTTTGGGGCGCTGGGCTGGTACTCAACCCTTTTTGTCGGCACATGCTTGTAGGTCAGGCCTGGAAAACAAAAAAAACACAGGGGAACCATGCTAGCGCTTGCTAGCTTCAACGCTCTGCTCAATCCTTTCTATGCTTTGCAATGGCAAAGAGACAGATGTAGACTAGAAGCATCTAAACAGGTGCCCACTCTTTCGTGGCTATATGAGCCTCGGTCAAAACTCATTGTGACCAAGTGACATGGGAATTTGTTGAGAACCCTTCTCGGGCATTTTCTCATGGTATTTTGTTGTGTGCCCCGTGTCATCCCCTCTACCGTTGCTCACAGGGACTCCAAGGTTCTCAGAAAGGCTTGCGAAAGCGGTACCGACACGGGCACCTGGAAACTGCCACTAGGCGAGCTATGCTCAGCAACCTTCCCATGATCTTGAAGCTCTCAATTAAACAACCTGGAGACATCCAACATGCAATCTCATGTTTCAGAAACTACAAAACGGATTGCAGTTGAATAGGACGCATCTAAGCCAAACTGGGAAAACCGGCAACCCCTCATTTCATCAACCATGCTTTCTTCATCCTCAACTTTCGAGCTCAATGATCCGACCCAGCATCTGATGATCCTTTAGCATGGCAATCTGCTGCGAGCAAACCCAATTCCATCTGCAAATTACAATAATAATGATCATAGTAATAGTGATAGTAATAGTAACAATACTGATAATAATAATTCTGCCAATAATAATTGGTTCGCCGAGTAAAGGATCTTCATTCCTGCATCCTCGGTTTACCCCCAGGTGAGCAGCCGTATAATGAGCAGACCCGTAAGCCCTCCCCGCCTGCTCCAGAACCGACTGCGCTGCAGTCTCAGCACCGGAGAATGGATCCAGCAACTCGTCATCTCCATCCATGTCCTGCCCATGTCGTTGCCAAAATCAGGGCATTTCCTGGCCCCCCCCCCAAAAAAAAAACAAGGCGGCACAAGGCGCAATTAGGGTTCGAAAAGGGACCATCCTGCCAAAGCAGTGTTCGGAACATCAACCCATCCACCCACCCACAGAACAGGAATTACAGACAGTCTGCGTCAATCAAACTGGCAACTGTCGAAGTGCCCAAGGGCATCAAAGTCGGCTCTTTCCAAACAAGAAGCCAAGTTCGAGTCACAGGCCAAAGTCAGCTACTGTCAGCCAAGCCGACCTGCAGCTTGCTTACCAAATTCAGAAGGGCGTGTGTGTGTGTGCGTGAGTCAATTTGTCGTAACCCTAAAATGGCCGTGTTCACCTTTAGAATCCCTTCAACATCACTTCAACAGGGGTACACATCCCCAACTATTCTCAACTGTATGAGCTGGGCCATAGCAATGGACGTGTGCCAGCTGCTGAGTTGCCCAAACTACCAAATCAATTTCAATCAGTGTCGGACGGCTGGGGAAAAGTTCTTTGCCTTTTAGATACCTTGGCGCAAACTTGGGGGCCACAGAATGCAACATTAGCCCGTTTTGTTTTGTATTTCGTCAACCTAATATTAACACATGCGAACCCAACAAGTGCGAAATTTAACTTTCCGTATGCACTAGCAAGGGAACAGGGCTGTTGAAAAAACATAAATCGCATCCGGCCAAACTCCGTCCTGCCCCGGACATGCTACCTCTAATTCGTCACGCTGTGAGCCACATCGAGACACAGTTGAGTCTGAGGCATGGACAAGCTGTCTGCAAGTTGACCCAAGTTGGACAAATTGGGGCCCCGCTGTTCTGTTGATTTGGATTGGTGGTCCCTTTGCCAAACAACTGGGGCCTTGAAACCAACAGGCCAGTTTGGAAAAGATGGCCTTGCACTGACCCTGCGAATCCGGAGCCCTGTTTACTGCTACTAGTTTCCACTCCGCGGGCACAAGGTGAGTCCAGGAGTTTGGCGATTCGCAGACCCTTCCAATGAGTCATGGTCACAAGGGAAGGCTTGAGGTCATGTGATCGCTGAATCTTTGCAAAAAGACACTCAGAAGAAGAACTATTCGAGCAACCAGCGAGCACACAGATGTCACACTGAAGGCAGGCACGTGCATTCCAACCCCACGCAGTCTATTTGGAGCTACTAAGCATGTAGGTCAAACCACACGATGGCGATGGTTGTGAATGCCACGAAAAGTAGCATCCTTGCCGTGGTGACTACAATCATGCTCAACAGACTTATCATAATACTGCCTACAACAAACATAATAATCATCATCCGGATTGTTCAGTAGATGCTTACCCATTAAAACTCCAAGCCCTGGGGAAGCTAATCTTTTACAGGCATATAGCCCATGTTACCCAACAAGTTAAAAAGTTTTGTGTTTTTAAGAGGTAAGGATGGTGAGAATGAAAAATAGCTGTGGCAAATGCTGCAGGTCTGCATGGCACATGGTGCAACTGGAGCCGACGCTGGACTCGCCATCCTGGGATCCAGCCCCACTGTCTGCCTTGAACTCCGTGGAACTCACGAGGGGTCAAAACTGTTTCTGATGACCCAGGACCCCAAAGCAAAAATTAGAAGGGTAAAAACTGGAAGGGTAGAAACCAAAGGATCCCCAAGCAAATGTCCACCCCAAGGGCTTTGGTCATCTTTTAGAGGCTTAATCGCAACCCTGGAGTCTGCGCTGCGCATGTGTTTCTGTCTTTTTCTGCGAAGACTCCGGCGGCCTGACACTCATTCCGCCCGCATACACTTAAACTAACTACCTAAGGCTCTCGTCATACTCTTGCCGCTTCTTCTGATCGGACAAGACTCCATACGCCTGCGGCCAGGTGCGTGCATGCCAGCATGCTGGCGACATGTTTTAAACAGGGAATTTTAGCAAGACGAAGCTGGGAACAAGCAGCTTGCCTTTCAAAGAAGTCGCAATGAACCATCCTGCCTTCCAGCCTGCCAGCTTGTCTGTATATGTGCGTGTATCCGCGTGTGTCTGTGTTTCTCTGTCCTTGTCTCTGTCTCCGTGTCCATCTCTGGAATGCCGCTGTTGCTCACAACACAATATTGTAGTGGCAACCTGCACATCTCACATACGAACAAATGTCTTGCTTCTCTTGCGATGTGCTTCACACACTGTTTTTACTCTGGATCGGGTACCCAGGACATGCATACATGAAAGTACAGAACGCACCAGCTGTGCTCTGCTGTGCGATGAATTCACATGAGCGCTCAAAAAGCAATAATGTAGGTAACGACATAGATGATGGATGGTCCCAATCTCATTGCAGCTGGTCTTTGCCCATCACGTTCTCACTTTCTCAATCAGGCGTGTACTTTAAGTCTTTCATACCCTGCATATTAACATCGCTGCTTACTTGGTTAGCGGTCTTCATTGATGCGGCAAAAGCGGCGACCCTCCTTTTGCATCATCGCGCAGTGCTTCAATTTTGAACGTAGCTGCGAATCATAAAGCACATTGCCGATATCAGCACATAATAGTGCATGTCTTTCACATCTGATCGTCAAACCCGATGGCTCTTTACACAATCCAATGCTGAGTAGTTCAGCGTGGTCTGATAATTCATGACACTACGTGCCCCACCCACCCAACAAACAAACAAACAAACAAACAAACAAGCAAACAGCATTTCCACCCGAATGAAATCAAGCATCCCAACGTGTCAGGATCCTGCAGTATATTCCTCCTGGCTTCGTGCAGAAATGATCAGGCGAACAAAATCCGCCGACCCTCTGCCTCCCTCCTGCAGAGGGGACCGGCGTGGGATGCAACTGGAAGTGATTGGAATCAATGATAGTCCCTGGGGGACACGCCCGAACCCACAAAAAGTGGATTCCCAGGACCGGTCCCGGGACAGGTCCCGGGATCGGTCCTGGGACCAGTCCTGGGGCCAGTCCTGGGACCGGTCCTGGGACTGGTGGGACCCTGGTTCTGCTGTTTCAGATTACTTGTAGTCAGCCAAAACCGGTCCTGGGACCGGTCCCAGGACCATGGGACCAGTCCTGGGACCGGTCCTGGGACTGGTCCCAGGACCAGTCCTGGGACCGGTCTGGGAAGCCGGTCCGGGATCAAGTCCTGGTGTGACCGCTGGTATTGGGTCCCAATTCAAACTGCTGTGCTGCCACCTCAAACCGCTCCAGACACGTTTCCGGACTGGCACCCAGGACACTGGACAGGGTCCCAGGTCGTCACTCCGTGCGACCAAACCGGCCCGTGCGGTTATTGACGTCCTTGTGGTAGTAGAGGATCCCTGGATCTATTCTGCAAGAGAGTCCAATACGTCAAGTCAAACCGCGCCAGACTGGGACCAGCCTGGACAGGGTCCCAAGTCCCGGTCCCTGCCGGCGACCGGTCCAGGGCAACTTCGGGAGGGCCAGCTTCAGGGCGACCCCGGGAGAGGCGACTGCTCCCGGCCAACTCGAAGTGACTTGGGCGCAAGCCGGCCCAAGCGGTAATTAACGGACTAGCTGCCCTATTTCTGACTTTTCCGTTAATCCTTGTTTGTGGTCAACTTCGGGAGGGCCAGTTTCAGGGCGACCCCGGGAGAGGCGACTGCTCCCGGGCCAACTCGAAGTGACTTGGGCGCAAGCCGGCCCAAGCGGTAATTAACGGACTAGCTGCCCTATTTCTGACTTTTCCGTTAATCCTTGTTTGTGGTCGTAGAGGATCTTATAAGTGGTCCCTGGGTTTGCGGACGTGTTTCAGGACCGGTCCTTGTGACTTTTCCCTTAATGCGCCGAGGGTCGGCGGCAGCAGGCGGGAGCCTGGTTAATAAGAACACCATGTTAAAACTAGGAGCTTCTGTTTGGCTCCTGAGCGGCTACTGCATTAAACTACTCTGGATGGACAAATCCATGTTGCACCACGATCTGCACCTGGTAGGGTTTATCGGTCACCTTCTCAAGATCTGTGGGACTCCAAATACATATGCGCTGTTGCTTTTTGTTCATATCCAACAAAATATAACGTAGCCTGAGAGCTAACCCCACTCCTACGCCAAATAATTTGCTCTGCTTCTTTTTCATATGCAAAAAAAAGTAAAAATCGCCTGGGAGCTAGCAGGTCTACAGGGAGATCAATGATTTGACCACACATTCCCACCGCCTTGTTGAGCCTCTGAAATGTCTTCGGATCTCCACCCTTCTCGGGATGCGCTGTCATAACCTCAGCTCAGTGACTTGCTTTTGTCAGTACTCTCCCATATGGCCATGGGTCAAAAGCCCGTACCCCCAGTGAGCATCCCAATCCCCACTAAAGTAGACTAAAATAATGGGTGGTGCACCTACCCCAAAATGGTACCCTTGGTTTTGACCCCCAGCCATATAGGCCAGCTTCTTACGGCCAGTTCGATGACAAAACCGGCCATGATGCGAAATACATGGGGAACTGCCAACCACGTGTAATGTCAACCGGCTACATGAGCGGAAAAAATGCTTTCTGTTCTCAGTACAGTGTTGATTCTCTTCTGCAGAAGGGAATCTTCGTCTAGCGCAAGGGGGGTCGCAGGAAAAAAGCATATGCGAGTTGAGCCATCTACTTCAGCTCACACATCACAAACCGGATCTCAAGCCAAACCCTGGGCCCCTGAGTCCGATCAATCCTGCAAGTAGGGTCTTAAAATATCTTAAAATTGGACAAAAAAGGAAGCTGGGTGGGATGGGTGTGTCTCTCTTTTCTTTTTTGGGGAGACCCCAAAATGATGGTTCTCATATTTTGGCTTCCCTTTAAACCACCAAGAAAGGGGTACCCCCAAAACAAAGCCAGACTCGGATCCTCTTCCGTTGCCCTCAGCTCCGCGCAAGCGCTCTGAACTTGCTGCGGATCTGGCAGGAACATACTCCAACGTTGAAAGGCCAAAAGGTCGGATGGCTGTGGCAGTTCCCTGTGTATTTCGAATCAAGTCTGGTGGCCGGTTTTTGTCATCGAACTGGCCATAAGAAGCTGGCCTATATGGCTGGGGGTCAAAACCAACGGGATCATTTTGGTTGGTAGGTGAATTCACCAATTTTAGAACCTGTTTTAGTGGTGATTGGGATGGGTCACATGAGTCACTTGCTGAAAACGCGGTATTAAAAATGGTTGACTCATCATGTAAGGAAGGTACGAAGGCGGATATCCGAAACTATTTATGGCTGGGATTGTCCCTTACTAACCTTCATCTACCCAGGATTTGATTGTGGCTCACATCCCTGACTCAACATGAGACCCCCTGCTTCGCAAGCGCCGCTGAGCTGGAGCAAGTAAAGTGACACCAAGCTGGGCCAAGTTTGAATTGGCATCGCCTTTCCCCAACGTTGGGGTTGATGGCGGATTGTGTGAATCAAATGGGGCGCTCGCACGGGAGACCACTCATGAGCGCCTCTAATCTCAGCTATGGGGGGGGTGCAAGTGTCCGGCATGCACTATACTATCTGATTAGTGAAAGTGTTCTGGGGCGGCCTTGATTCATTGGATCACGGAAATGGAATCCGTTGCGTGCCTACAGGCAAGGAGACACTTCTGCGATGGAGACACGCCCCTCTTGGGTCAATCAGAAGTGTGTCACATGAATACCTGTCAATACTACCTCCAAAACCCGGCAGGGCCTATGCAAATCCGATAAGGCGTTGTGTGTTGTTCACACGGCTTCCATGGCCACCCGAACCCATACCCTGGCAACCGTGTCCAGTGGGCATCAAAGTCCGACCAAGCTCGGACAAGCCGTGGCTTTTCGATCTGGCCCCATCCCTCCGGCCGAAGGGTGCCTCTTGCAAAGAGGCTGTGGTGCTCACACCGAGAAGGCTATAGTAGTCCTCGTGGGACACGCCAGTCGGCTTGCGGGTTCGGGCCCGAGACTAAACCTATCCTTGAGAAGAGGCAACTGTGCACTTCCATGGTGAGAGAGCGCAACCCAAAAGGCCAGCCTCCGTTTCCCTCTTTTCCGCGTATGTGTCAAAAGGGGTAGCGCCCAAAATAAGACGATCGGTTTCCTTTTGGCTTCCTTTGCCAAAATTTCCCCCCCCCCCCCAAACCAAAGAGGCGCACCCGTGCGAACAGCAAAGCAGGCTGCGGCTGCACCTTGAACCTAGTCCAAAACCCGGAGCAACCAGTGACGCGGTTCAGGTAGAAAACGTGTTGGGGTTCCGCTTTGGGTTTGTCGACTTCACTTGGAGTCCCCTAGGATATTTTTTTTTCGAAATATGTCTATCTATGTATCTCTCTCTCTCTTCCCCCCCCTCCCAAACCACCCCACACCTCACCCACCCGACCCACCCCTCCCACCGCACCGACCCTTACATGGGGTAAGGGTATAGAATCCATGGGAAAAAAGGCGAGCACGGCCGACACCCTGACCCCCACCTCCTCCCGAGTCGGAGCATGCGGAGCCTGCAGGCAAGTGGCGGCTTCTTTTTTTGAGCCTGGATGCACTAATCAAAGAAATCCTCCAGGGCGTTCTTGGGGCAAGTGAGTTTCCAGAGAAAGGAAGCTGTGAGTTACAAGGCCCAAAAAACAAAATAGAATTGGGATGTGGAGAACAAAACCAAACTACCTGATAGGTCGGGAGCCAAAGGCCTGCCAGAAGCCAGGGGGTTGGCCAAAACTCAAACCATACACAGACACAGACACAGACACGCAACAAGCTGGAGCCTGCGCAGGCGCAGCAGCTGGCGTTGGCCTGTGGCAAAGGACAGGATAGGAAGAAAAGGTTGAAAGTTTGAACCAAAACTTGGTTGCTTTCTGCTCCCCTGCCAAAAGTTTAACTTTTAGCGGTTTAATGGAAAACCCATTAGTTAGCAAACAGTTGAAGTCCTAACATCCAAGCAAAATGCACCAAAGAAAACAACAGGTAAGGCTGAGAGGGCTGGTTGGCTGGGCAACGGTGCTTGCAGTGCCGTCTGGTGCTTCTGAAGTGGGCGCTGTGTTTGAGACATGGGCGAAATTGGTCGCACTGTTATTGTTTTGCGACCCTGAAACCTGCCATTTGGAGGGTTTGGCTGCTTTGAAACATGTATGGTCGAACGTCTGCATGGTTTCTGCCTTCAAGAACCCCGCCTCCAAGCTGTGCAGTTGATTCAGTGGTCATCTCAATGCTGTGCTCACTTGCATGTTCATCTTTCGGTGGACATGCAATGCCTGTCTGAAATTCAAATCTGACCCTGAGGAAACCCGCACGAGAACCTGCTTCCATGTTCAGCTTGCTTTCGTGGGCCTTGGACGCTTACACGCCCGTGAGGAAGCTGCCTGCTCTTTGCCTAAACGTGATGTTTGTTCTTGCCGCCCCAAGTCCGGCAAATATCACTTTTCAGCTTCACTCAACAATCAAGCTGACACACAACATCAACATGGACACCATCCGCCCACCATTTGCAGGCTCCATGCACGCAGAGCAAATGCTTTAGGGGTGCCAGCTGGCAAATCCCATATCATATCCAGTCAATGCACTTGTCCAAAACCGCACAGCTTGGCTGCAAAGAACACATACCAGGTCTCTGATCCCAAATAAATTAACCCATAGCATCTTGCAAAGAGTTCGCCAAGCCCACCGGCGACAAGCCGTTGACACGCGACTTCGGTTTTAATCCACAAGGGATGCTTACTCAACTAGCAGCTTTCCCACCCCTTAGCAGGGAAGCCACCAAAGGCCCTAACCCAGGAAAGACTAGCCCTATACTGAGATGTACGATGAAACTCTTGCACATAGCAGGCTCCGCCCAACTCAGAGCGTCGAACGTGCCTGGCACCTTAGTTCGAGACAGAACTCAAATGCTCAAGGGCGGAAGTGAGTGAGGTTGAGAGGGTTCTATACGCTCTTTTTCTCGGGCGGCAAACGAATGGTGTTCCTTTGGTTTTCCTTTAGCCCAAACTGAAGGCCGGAAGGGTACGATCAACACACACACACACATTGCATTCTGGGGACATGCATCGGGAATACCACAGAGTCAAGCCATCTCACATGATCGCTCAATCATCATACCTTCGAAAGGGATAGGCACACATGACCGATATTTTGCTTCTGTCATCTTCCTAATTCTATCACCTCCCAAGTATGGATGAGTATCATCCCGGCATGTTAAACGAACAGTAGCGTCGAGCCAATGGACACAGGGAACTATCAGCGTCCAAATTCGTGATACTAAACCCATGATCGTGCTGCAATCTGCAAAGGAGACACTGCAAAAAAGAAGCAGACAGCAGCTTTACCAACTGCCCACATCCGATCAAGTTTGTCGGATCAACCCCCCTGCTTATTTGGGTGTGTCCGGAAATTGATTAAATGCAACAGCTGTGTCGGGTACCCTTGCATTTAAAGCTCGATGGACAGTAGTCTGAAGCCAAGTGAAACTGTTGGATCACCTAATCCTGGGACGTCAAGCCTGACCCAATGGCTCTGGCACGAATTTACCCCATCCACAACGCCATGTTTGATGCGCATCTATTGGATTGGACAAAATCCGGTCGCACCACCGTTCAGAAACCCTGGAATGATGACTGCCCGTTCCCATGGTTTCAAAGCGGTGCAGGACTTCGTCCATCCAC